GAAGCAAACATAGGCAAAGTCATCCACTGCCTTGAGTTATATGCAAAACCTGGAGATGCTATTTTGATGGAACAATTTTAATATTGGATGGAGGCTTTAGGATATAAGATTACAAAGACTAGAACTCTCCCTCCAACATGTTTAAATTACCTTGAACAATAGCTTATATGTTGAATTTGAGTTGCCTTTAAATAGACACACAAGTTCCAATGGCTCCAATCTTCATTCCCTAAGGGCTTTCCCAGCATAGTTTATTTTGTCTAAACTTACCTGCCTTGACCCCAAGACATCCAGATTTATGAGTCCTGGTCTATAATATTAATGCAACCAAAGAACTATTATACAGCTGTTCTTGTTAGGGATATCCAGCATCTATCCATATGCTTGTCATCAAAGAATATTTATTGTCATTATCCTGGTGTGTCTCTATTCTACTGCCCTGGGACTATCAATGATTGCTGAAGTCTGTATTACATACAGTTATTTTACTATGTTTTTATATAGATTAGGTTTATATATTATACATAATATAGGAACCAAGAGGAGGTTATGGATGTTCATAAACATACAGTTGCCAAAGGGTGTGAGTGGGGAGAGGGCTCTTTGACATTCGGGCTTGCATCATCACTCTCTCCACCTGACCACAATCTGGTCCAGAAAATGCTAATTAAAGCGCAAACAGCTGTGTTGTTCCTTGTAAATATCTAACTTGGTGTGGGCACGAGACACGGGCGAGGGTGAGATAAGCCCACCCAATGGTCTCATTATTGAATAGCCATTTTAAAACGGAAGCACACACCCTCTCCATTGTAACCTTGAAGACATCATGAATTTGGGTTTTCATGAACTGATTATTTACAACACATGAACTTATTAATAACTGTTCTTATCCATTGCAGTCTTCTAGCTCAGCAAATGGCTTAATGTGGTAATTATGCTTCTAGTCAAAACATCTCTTCTTGGCAGTAAGAGCTGCTTTAGCAGCAATCTTGGATTCAGAAACAACATGGTAGAAACTTCAAAGTTCCAATAAGTAAATCCAACATAGATGCACGTATCAAAAAAGAGGAAGTAAACAGAAAGCCAGCTGAGAAAGTAAACTGATGTGAGCTCTTATACTCTACTTACCTGTAAACACTTCACAAGTACTTACTAAATCTGTATTTAAGAAGTATGTACTAGCTACCTACATAAGTTTGATGGGTTATTTGAGAGTTTCTGATCATTTTATTCATTCCTACAAACTCTCACAAAACTGGTATTATCGCTTACACAGACCAGGCAAACATCTTGCTTTACCTTGGTGTTGGGTGAGAGCCCTCACCCAAACCCCATCCATTCTCTGTGCTGCTATTTTTTAATCCTCCTATGTCACAGCAGCTGCACCTTCCCTGCTGAGTCACATTCAATGATTCACCATTGTCTACCTAGTAAGGTCCAAACTCATGCATGCTCCAGATCGGTTCCCCACCCCAGAATTTCATTTGAACTACCTCTCCCTATTATCTCCCATGGCTCCCCTCCATCAATCTGCCATTTAAGTCAAATCAAGCTCTTCTATACTTAGTCATGGGGTTACCTCTGCCCCCAGACTACTATTTACCCCAAATGTTCCTGTATTTCCTGACTTTTCAAGGCCCATTCAAATAGGCCCTCTATGAAGTCATCTCTTACTTTTCAAATTTCCAAAGTACTATTACATTAGGGGTGGACAGTATAGCCAGCGTAATCCCAGACGAGCTCACAGGGAATGCAAACTCCTCTGGACCTTTCTGATGCATGAGGGCTCTCTCAGAAGCACTATTTTACATGACCCACCTGCAGGAAGGAAAGGGGTCTGTGGTGAGGAGGCTAACCCAGAGGTTCTTGAAAGTGCAGCATGAAGTCTCCCAGACTAGTCCCAGACTAGTTGAGGTCTAGATCCTAAGGAGAAAGGAGATGATATGTATATAACATATGTGATCGCTACATATAATCAATATATATGGTCATATAAACTGCTCTATGACTGCTTTCACAAATGAATCTTTAAAGACAAGGGGAGGAAGTGAAGAAAAAAGGCATGAGGCACAGGCAACTTGGATTTGTCTGCCACCCAGAGCGTAATGCAAGGGCAGGATGAGAATCTGGCACTTTTCCTTGTTTATTTACCACTGACCACCACCCAGTGTGGCATCTCATGCACACTAACGTCCAGCTGCAGGAGGGCCCATAGGACTAAGCAGAGCAGCTGGAAACCACTTGGGAATAGAATCATTTGTGAGCTCATATGAATTCCCAGAATCCTGGTTAATCCCCAGAAATCTGCAATGAACACTTTATAGATGGCAAGACCATATAAGTATCTGGTTTGGTCAGCCTAACAACCATGCAAGGTGGATACTATTATTGCCAGATTTTCCTCATAGCAATGGATTTGAGCACAGTGTTTACTGTGGAAAGACTCCAGGCTTGCTGTCAGCAGACCAAGTTTGAGCTCTTACTCTTCTGCATATGACAGAGTGATCCTAGATAAATCCCAGCCTCTCTAAGCTCTGATTTTTTGTTCGCAGGACAGGAGCAGCAGTCTTCTGCATGTGGATGCCATGAAACTCTGAGATAATGAGCAACTCCTACGCAGTTTTGAGAAATTTTTACGGCACATGAATTTTTACCATTGCATTCACTGTTGGCCACAAATCAGTTGTTCCTGTCTGTGTCTTAATAGATGAGAAATAATGAAAGGAGGTTTATGCATGTTTATACATCTGTGTCATCTCGTGCTGCTGAGCAGGGAGTTAAGGGTGATGCCTTGGATTCGAATGCTCTAGAATGAGCGGATCCAGACTTCAGAGTTGCTTGGACTAGACACGACTCCTGAAATCCTAAGAGTATTTATTAATCAGATAGATACATGCAATTTTAAAAGATTAAGGCAAATTTCCCAGGAACACAATATATAGTAAGGCAGCGAGACCATTAACCACTAAAAGAGAACAGGAAATGGCAACTTTTTCTGTAAAGGGTTCGGTGGAAACATTCTAGACTTTGCTGGCCAGGCTGCCCTGTGGCTATGACTCAGCACTGTCATTTCATTGTGACATCAGCCACAGATAACATATAGACGGATAGAAGTGCTCTTTTCCAACAAACTGGACTTAAAAAGACAGGTGGTGGGCTGCGTTTGGCTGACGTACAGCAGTCGGCCAGCTCTTGAGATAGAGGTTTGTGCTGTTACCAAGGAGGATTTGCAAACAAGAAGTTGAAAACAAAGGCAGCTGATGACATGAAATGGAAAGCCGCAAGTGAAAGGAAACTTTTAGAAACGAAAATGAACAAGGGCATCATTGGAGAAAGGGTTCATGTAACATGTCTGCGGAATCGGAGGAAAATGCATTTTACTCTAGAAGTTCAAAAAGGAACACAGGATAGCTGAGTGCCCAAGGGTCTGGGAGGCACGGTGGGCCAGAGGTTGGTGAGGATGCCTGGAAGTTCCAGCATGCTCTAGCCCCATTAGCGGGAGCCAAACCTCTAGGACAAAGTGTCCCCAGCCCGGGACTGTGCCTGCTTGGGCTCGGCCCACACAGGACCCCGTGTCCATGTGAGGACTGCGCCCTGCTCTGGCGGAAATGGCTGGACACTCCAGGGCCCACTGCATGAAGCCCCTTGAGACATGGTGGCGAGCTGCAAGTTGGTGTGGGGCTGGGGGAGGGAGCACCCTCAGCCCCAGGGGCAGCCCCAGAATCCATCACATTACACTTTAAGGAAGCCTTCTATGCTGTAGATTAATATCAAAATAAAAATGTAGGTCTTATGTATTTACTGGAAATGGCTGAAAAGAGGTATCCCTTGCAGAATCATTGAAACACATATTGAAGGAGGGGGTCATATTTTCTAAGAATTCTTGACTTTTGTTTACTAAAAAATATGCTCCCTCAGCTGAATGAGAAGCAAATGGGTTGACATGTTTAAGGAAACACTTGGAGTGCTTCAAATGAGGCCATAAAGGGAGATGACTTGAGGAGGCGACAGGTCTGCCGTGGGGGCTCAGAGCCACCAATGATCCTCCTGCAGAGGAACTAATTACGTTTGGAGAGGACTGTGCGTCTGATAAAATAATTAAAAATAAATTGCTCTCCTTGGAAATGCAAATTACCAAGTCTTAAAGCAACACTGTGGGCCACACAGACGATAAATAGATGTATTTTCTCAAATCCGTTCGGTGGTGCTGATCGATTTCCAATTCTGGCTACGGCAGGGTCCCGACAGCTTTTGAAACAACCGTGAGGGACCTCGGACCCAGTGGGGACAGCTGTTATCTCCTGAGGAACAAGGGCGGGAAGCCTACAGCGTGACACCCCCCCACCCCCACCCCTTGGCCTTCCTGGCGGGGAATTGGGGGCTCTGTGAGACCAGCCCTGACCTGCTACTCCCCCGAATGCCTCGCCCCTCCAGTAACTACACAGCAGCCTCTCCTGCACCCAGTTTGCTGGCTCAAGGGCAGCAAGGCCCAGCTGAGAAGCAGGAGCCCCAGGAGCTCGGGTGGTGGGGAGGGCAGCCACAGGCCCGAGGCTGCTGGTGAGAAAACACTGTTGCCTGAAACCAAAAGAAAATGTTTTCTCCTTAGCGGTGGCTCGCATAGAACAGAGAGGGAGAGAGAGAGATGCAGGCTACAAAATATTTCCATTTTATCCAAGAACCAACACTGCCCAAGCGCCTAGTATGCCAGGCTTGCCCCGGACCTGAATGCATAGACGGGCCCAGGCAGAAGACGGGCTTTCTGGAAGGCAGCCCCGCTCGCAGGCGGCATCAGTGAAGGGCATGCGGCCGAGCCCTCTGTCCAGCTGACATCGGCCTACTGGAGCCTCTCACCTGCGGACAAGGCCACCTGCCGCCTCCTGCTGGACTTTGCCTTAGGAGCTCGGCCAGCCCCAGGAGGCTGTGTGAGGGAGGTGGCTCTCTCCTTGCAGCTGGGAACCCCAGTGTCCTGGGTGTGGCCTGGGCGTGAGGGTGCCGCCTGGCTCCTGGGGGCCTGCCAGGGACCGAGGTGCTCCCCACACAGAGAAACACTGAGCAGAACTGGCATCGCGCAGGTGCTCGATCGATGCCCGCTCGGGGGCCCCACACGCGCCCCTCTGCTTCCAGGGAGCCCGGCCACAGGCAGAGAGGGGCGCGCCAGGTCAGCCAAGCCCCACGTCCCACTCATGCAGCCCGAGGCCTGCAGGCACCTGCAGCTCACAGGCTTCAGCTGTCGTCCTCATCTTCCTCCCTGCTCCTGCTCAGGGTGTCGCCGCCGGTCCTCTTCATGTCCACCCACAGGACCTGCTCCTTCTGCGCACTGCAGCTGAGTGTTGCCAGCCTTCGGATCTTCCAGTACAAGTAGACCAGGGAGGCGAGCAGCAGGATGAGTAGAATGAAGGGCAGGATGAGCAGGAAGTAGAGCAAAGGCTCTGAGGAGCAGATCCTGGAGGGCAGCGTAGACTCTGCAACGAGAAAGGAAAGCAGAGCCGTGGGTCTCCGACAAATGTGTGTGAAGCAACAGGGCAAATAGCCGGCTCCTGGCGCCCTGCATCAGGAGCAAACGGAAGAGAAGCAGGAGGGGAAAATTCTAGAACTGTGCCCTTCAGCTCCACTCCCCCTCCCAAACACCAGCCCCCCGCAGCCATCTCCAACCACCGGAGGGTCCAGTGACCTACTTAGAGCTAACAGCCAGAAAGAAAACAAAACGCAAAAAGAAAGCCGCTCCTTTAATCTTCTTTCCTCAGAAAAGATATCTATAATTCAACCCTCGTTCTCAACTCTGTTGCCGGCCCTGAATTTTTAACAGAGTAATTCCCACCGCTGCTTCTTAAACACGGGAGTGCAGGTCCCCGCTCCAGCCGCTGGAGCACAGCTCAGGCTCACAGGTGTCCCCGGGGAGCGCCCTGCAGGGCTCCCTGGTTTTGCTGTCCTCCCTGCAGGCTCCGCTCCCCTAAGGCTCCGGGCCTGTGGCCTGGCCCAGAGGCGTCACCCGCTCCCCGAGTCCTCCTGCCTGGCTGTCTTTTCCTTGTAAGCACCCCCTTTGTGTCATCACGGTTGCTGGAGTGTCCGGTGGCCTTTGGTCTCACTTCCCCATGGTCTCTAGCACAGCAGCTGGAGGAGTCTTTCCAGGTTGAACTGTTTTGTTTTTTTTTGAGGTATTTTTATTTATGATACAGAACTGGGGTACAGGCCAGAGGTGCAAGGTGAGAGGACTCCCCAGAGACAGAGTGGGGAGCAGTACAGGCAGATCTAGTGAAGTACACTGCTGAGGGGAGCAGCGGGGAAACCGGAGAGGTCTGCTGCGCCAAGTGGGTCAGCTCTCTGCCGGGGATGAACTCTTGCTAAAGCGGCTACAGCCAGCTTTGCAGAGCTGCGCTTTAACCTGTTGCACCACCAGGGAGGGCCCCGATCTGCACTGACCTGGATCAACTACAACTGTATGGGCAGCAGATTCTCATCCAGGCAGAGATTCTCTACTAAGGAAGAGATTCTCCATCCAGGCAGGAGGTTCTCCATCCAGGTGGGAGATTCTCCATCAAGGAGGAGATTCTCCATCCAGGCAGGAGATTCCCCATCAAAGCAGGAGATTCTCATCCAGGCAGTAGATTCTCCATCCAGATGGAAGAGTCTCCATAAAGGCGGGAGATTCTTCATCCAGGCAGGAGATTCTTCATCCAGGTGGGAGATTCTCATCCAG